CTCTCAAGCCCCTGGACCATGCCAAGTCAGTTTGACTAAGAACATTAGTGTGTCACAGCTTGGGATTTTGGCGTTTGCAATTCTATTAGTGTGACAATTCTAAAGGCGAACGTCTGCCATTCCCTCTACCTCTCCTTGTGGCGTTGCCTCTGCCAGCCAACAGATGCAGGTTTTTACATATCAAAGCTGTTGACTTGCCAGAGTCGTTCTTTCACGCCTCTAATGCTCTTTGCTTCAGAGGACTGTACCTCAGTCCCTTGATCAAGTTACTAAACGCGGCTTTGCACATGGCTCACCACCAAAGGCGGGTTGCTCATGCTGGGACCTGGAAATGGAGGCGAGAAAAGCATCTCAGAGGGATTGGCTTGTGCTTACACACCATGAGACAGGCCAAAAGAAAAATAAGGCAGGGGGGGCATACCGACAGGCATGCGGAGCAAACAACAAACGAAGGGCTGGCTTGTGTTAATAAAGTAAATTCTCACGCTGAAAAAGACGAGCAAAGGTCTGTGTATTTGGCAAACACAACAGAGTCAAGGGTGTGTGTTGGTGTGTACACACGGTGGACACATTTCCCCTCTATACCCAAATTGTGTCAAGGCAATCTAGAAACTCAAGAGCAGATTGTTTGTGCTTTTTAAACTCGGGCTTTGATGCCAACTATTAATAAGTAACTAGAGTCTGAAGAGGAGAATTGGCTCTGAAGTGAGAACATGGCAGAATGATTGATTTATCAATACCAAAGCCCTAATAACCTCTTCATTATGTGGTCGCCTTTGAAGATGAAGAACACATGAAAGTGCTGTATGACATCAAGAAAATCAGCGCTTTATTAAAATAATTCTACATAATCAGAAATAATAGCCTTTTCTGAATAAATTGTGTTGAAAGGAAGAGACAGAGTGTCTCCCTCAGTGTCTCGTTCAGTGTGTGTCATCCTATGATGCAACTACACGCCAAAGCAAATCTACTTCGGGAAAGATTAACAATAGCGTGTGCCGTTCTCCTGAAGCCTTAGCATCTTATTCTCTCCCTCTCCTCGCCGTCAGACGCATGTCCTCTCCATGTGAGTGTCACTAATATCTGTCTCTCCTTGTAAGTGACCCTTGTCCAGTGTCATTGAAACTGAGGGGAGGGGGCAGCAGAGTTTGAGAGGAGGTGACCTTTTCCTGTTTGCATGTCAGAGGAGAGAAATCTTGTCAGTAAGTGGTCATGGTATTGACCTTCCCTATGAAACGATGCCATTCAAAGGTTCATGAGAATCACACCTTTGCTTTTACAAAAATACAGTCCCCTGGTTTTACTATGGATGTATATCATTCTTGATTTAACTGGGGCAGTATCAAAGGATATAATGAATTTTAAACCCTAGGCATCATTTTTTTTACTATTCATCATAGCTATTTGAGGCCACCTGAATTTATAGTCTGGAGGTCTTGTTCCTCCTCTCTTCCCCCGAGATCGTCTGTCAGACCAGACAGCCGGGCGGCTGCTGATTGAAGTGAAACAGTTTTTCTTAGTCTTTTCTTGTTATTCTTGTATGTTTCTGCCTTGTCATCTTTACAGCAAGTCTTCATCCTTGTTTTCAGACTGAGAGGGAACTTTGCAGCCGTCCTCTTGGCATCTTCCCTCCTCTCCACATTCACCCATGTCCACTGGATGCTCCTGCATTGCATTCAAGTCGTGCCACGGCTCTGTCACACTTCTGCTGGGGATCACATTTCCTTTCCTGAGCAGCAACCTTTCAAATACTGTTTTGATTTGTTTTCCTGACATATTTTTTGTTTTTACGTTATGTTTGGGCATTTATGTGACTTTATGATACAGTAGATAGTGGTGGGGAATGTTGTGGCTCATGTTCAGCAGCTTGAGCTCTACTCCACCCACAGCACATTTATGATGATTGTGGAAACAATTTGTGTCTTTACTATACAGATTTTAATTTCTGTACCAAATGCATTTTTACCGTAACCCATTAAGACCAGATGCAACATATGCGTCCGGGTTTGTGGAAAAGGCAACAGATGATAGCAACATTCTTTTCCAACGCTTAGGTTTCAATCAGTGTCTTAAATGTTAACGGGTTAACTTGGGTTGACATGGGTAAATATTAGGAGGCGGGAAAAAATACTTCTCCATCACAGATTTTGAAGAAGTGACACACAAACAAGTTTTGTTATATATGAGTAAAAAGCCACAGTAAGCAGCAATGAAATGCATCATCAAGTATTAATGTCATGTCATCTCACGATAAATATAGAAATTTTTTGTACACTAACAAATGACTTTCACTCTTCAGAGACACTGTGTGAGCAAAAAGAGACCCGATGCATAAAGATAATGAAGCAGAGAGAAGAGGAACAGCCGCGCTTCTTAGTCGTCCATCTTACACGCTACAACCCTGTCAATGTGACCCGCAGCTTATTTGTACGCTTCAAGTTTATTCTTATGAATGCAATTAGTGTTTCCCAAACCTAGGTGACCTACAATACGGTACTGGGCCTGAGCGGAACCTGCATAGATGCACATGGAGCACTGGTGCTGCTGCTGCTTGCTAATGTGCAGCCCACGCTACGCCTCTCTGTGTAGAAACGGTGTAAAGACACTGCTGCACCAGCCAAATTGGCATAAGATATCTCCAGTACCAATTATATTTTTTGGAAAACTGCAACATTTGTCTGTGTATTTGTCTACCAGCATAAAGTACTTACATGATGTTTTTTAATTTCTTAAATATTTTGATGGACTATGAAGTCCAACAATTTTACAATGTGGAAAATCTTTTTGTGGACATTTTAATACTTATTTAAAAAAACAACAACTCTCAAGTCGAAAACTGTCTTTTATCTTGGGCAGACCTTGTTTAAATGCAACACTGATTTCTTTCTGATTTGCAGATGAAGTTGTTACATGTTACTGCACCAGTTAAAATTTATATTTTCATAAATGCTGCATAATTGTAGCTGCTGACCAAAAAGCATTTGCACAGTTTGGGCTTATTTGCTTTTACCGTGCTATAATTGGGCCGCCCTAAGACAAACGGTACGTGCAGTATGTACCCCTGCTGCTCTCCAAACTGCAGCAGGATCACTGTGACCTATTGCTGCTCGTGGCAGTAAACCACTCTCTGCTGGGGGGGGGGGCAAATGGAAGTGCTGCATTATCCATTCTTCAAGAGTTTTAAATGACTCAGGCAGTGATATTATGTAGATGTGTGTTAATATTTCACATAGACTATACACAGCAAATATTTCTATTTTTGTTTAAAAGCAGGGCCAAGTAGGGGACAAGTTCACCATGAGGATGCTGTGTGAATATACAACAGTAATTTAACCTTGCTTTAAGAGAGGCCATTAGCACCAGTCTTTTTTCCTTTTAATTTCTGCATCCAACAATTTGTTTCTATCCGAGCACACCGTCCTCGCACGAGGCAGCAGATCCGCAGAGTGTTGCTAATTAATGAAGGGCATCTTCGAGTCTAAATCCTTTGTTTACTTTTTAGTGTCAGCGCTGGTGCATAGCAAAGCTACTAACCTTTGATATGGGCTGTCATCTCTGCATAATCATAATCAATTCAGCCAAAAATTCAACACAATTTTCTTCAAAGCGCATCAAAACTTCATTAATTCTCTTAATGCAGCACAGTGGGTACCAGCTAAGCTGAAACGTGAACGCCATAGCAAAGAGTACAATAAAACTCTTGGAAAAAAAAAACGAGGGCAGAATTATGCGCTAATCCTCATCAGTGAGAAGAAAACAGGGTCTGCTCTTGCTCCTGCTCAATCAAAAATACTGGTGTCAAGTTTGTCAAGTTCGTTCGTGAATGAAAACTTCCGTTGAGCCGCAGCCTTCTGCAGTCTTCTGTTTGGCAAATTGAATGCTGTGGACACTTGAAACGTGGCAGCCGGCATGCAGCATGGTAATTGCCACACATTTCACAGGTTCTTTCTAGATTATGGTAAATTGAGAAAGAAGAATGTGTGGATTAACAAAGTAGGCCACAAGAAAAACAATGGAGCTGCGGTGACGCGACTCAGTTTTTCTATTTCTTGTAATCACTTGCCAGAGAATGGTAAGCACCCTACATGGATCACTTTAATTTCCTTGCTATCCATCTCCCATTCTTTTTTTGGCGCAGAGAAACGTCCCCGGCCCTTGAATGAGTGACAGTGCTTTGAATCTCTGACGTTCATTTGCAAATATTCCATTCATATCTCCATAAATGAATACAAAATGAATACTTGTGGGAATAAATTAGCTGCTCTCTAATTAGCTGTTAAGCCAACTTTGAATGTCACATCTTAAAGGATGGGAAGTGGTTTCGCAGTAAGCGGCATTGGCAGGGGGTCCGAAGCCCGAAGATGTGGCGCACTGTCTCCAGGGGTTCTGTGATGTGAGTGAGTGTACACTCAGAAATGTGCACGAACAATGGTGCTTCTATCTCTGTGAAGACACTCGTCGATATAATACATTTATTAGCCTCTTACCCTGACCAAACCCTGACCTTAACCAAACCTTATTTTAACCTGAACAGTTAAAGCAAGTCTAAATCAATAAGTGTTGAGGACTGGAATGGTCTATAACTCTAATTTCTATAATAATAGAAGTACAAACTCACACATACACACATACACACACACAAACAAACATGGTGACAGATCCTAATAAGCATGGACATCAGTATCTAGAGCCTTGAGCCTTTGTTAATATTTGTTCTGCTCAGTTCACACTCAGCAGATGAAGTCCTCCTTTCAGTGTAGGAGGTGGAGTGGGAGCTGTTCCCTCTCAGACCTGACTGAGGGAACCATGGGACTGGACTCGTACACCCTTGAGTGGGAACGAGATGAGCGCGGATGGAAAGAAATGGGAAAATGCACTTGACACTAGGATTAATTACACTGAATACAAAGAACATACATCACAGTAACAACTGACACACCATACACACATATCACTGCTGCAACATGCACACACACATATATACAGATAAAACTACTCACATTGTACGATCAGCTCCACCTCGGCCTCTCTGGGCTTCACGTTGAAGCCATTATACTGGCTGGTTTGGCAGCGGTACGAGCCCGTCATCTCCCTGGATACATTAACAATACGCAGCACACCATCGTAGCTCTCCATCTGCCAGTTGCCGTCCGGCATCGGCGCCTCCTTATCCGCTCGCGACCACAGGATGATGGGCTTGGGTTTCCCTGAAACAAGGCACTCCAGCTCCACTGTGTCACCCTCGCGGGCCACCAGAGGGGACTTGCCCCTGGGGACTGTCAGGTTGGGGGGAACTAAGAAAGAGAAAAACAGAGGAGGGACTGATATGGGGCTCTAGAAAGTCAGCGGGCGGGGTAAGAAGAAATGGTCGACTGCGAGGGAGAAGTGGCGTGGAGGGTAGATGGGGGGAGGGGGAGCGAATGAGCATCCAAGTTGCAATGGCGATGAAGCTGAGTCTCAGCCACAAACAAAGCTTTGTATGGAAGGACCATGCAGATCTTAGCAGCAACGCCTGGGAGTGGACGATCAGAGCATGTACTCAAAAACCATCATGTAGGGCAGCAGTGAGGAGCAATGGCAAACAATGAACAATGCAATGAAGAGTGGACACGCAAATAACCAAGCAACCATATGGGTCAAAGAAAATGACCTCTCAACAAAATAGGTTCAGGAACAATGACAAGAACTAAACAAAGGGACGGAAATAGGAAATACAATACAAAATCCCTTTTGTGAATCAAATGTCTCTACTGCTTTTGAAGACTTGCTGAAAAACATATTAATTAGTTTAATGACAGATAAACAAATGATGGCAATGTTTACAACTTCACTTACACACAGATGGAAACAACCCAGAGTTTCAGCCACATTCACCAGTTATAACAACAATCAGATAATTAAGAGAAGAGCGTGACATTTTGGTCAATATGCTTGTTTGCCGTCTTGATGGTTCAGTGAGAAGATCAACACCACTCTCATGACTTTGACAACAATGCAAACAGGAAGATTCATCCAGTTAATAAAATCCATCTGCTAGCACTGCTCACTAATTCACATGCAATATCTCACTTGTACATAACCTGTACATAAAGTTTTTAAATGCGGTTATGAGTCAAACTATTTTACTTGGTGGGCAAATTCACTATCCAGGGTCTCAGCAGATTTTAAAGATGGCAGCCGGAGGAGCTCAAACTGACAGCGCGACCTCAGATACTGTTTAATGTGTTAATTAGCAAGCTTTAAAGATGCTCACAGATGGATTTTGTTACCTCTGGACAGGCCCGGTTCCCACTATTTCCAGGCTTTGTGCTAAGCTAAATCAACCATATTACAAATCATTCGTGCTCTCAGCTTGTTTGCACCGTCTCTCCTTATGTCTCTGGAAGACTCGTCATAAAGCCAGCAACCTCTTATAACAATGAGCATCACAAGACAAGTCCAACCCTTGCTTGTACTTGTGCCAATTGCGTCTTTTAGTTACTGTAAACGGACATTAGACTAATCAGTGCCGCTCACCTTAATAGTTCTTGGGTCTTCAGTAAATGCAAATCCCAGAAAAGAGCTGTTCTGTCACCAGGAACAATAGTAGAGGAAATAAGCTAAGATAAGGAATTGATGGGTTTCAAACCTGTAAGTAAACCTGCAACTTGGCTGGAAGTAAAGTTGGAAGACATGACAGCTCCCATAAGTGAAGCAAAACCACCGCCACCTGGTACTTTGTATATGTCATATACATTTTTTCTCAAAGATCGCTACTACACAGAATCTGGCTGCTCAAGATGGTCACATTCCACTCCTGAGTTTAGGTTCATTACTGGATAATGTGATAGAGCAGAGACGTGTCATCCATGTTTATACACAGTCAATGGCTGTTACTCACTGAAGAAAGACAATAAAATAATCCACCAAATACTATTTATATAAACAAATTCAATGTTCTTCACATCATCCTAAGTAATGGCATTGCATTACCCTCCTAAGTGAGAATCATCATTATCAGCGTTACAATTAAAATAATCAGCATCACAGTGTCTCATCTTCATCCCATTTTCACCACCATCATCACTTCAACATTCATAATTCTTATCACGTCACCACCACTTCCATCGTAGCCATCGCTCTGCAGATTTTCACTTCCCTGCCCCCGTCCTCATGGAGCTACTCAATCTCATCCACAGCGTCATATAATTCAGAGCATTTACAACAGAATGCTCCCAAAGGTGATAGAGCATTATTGCTGTCCGTGTAACAAAATATGACCCAATAAATATTTTGCCCTTGTTTAACGGACATTTTAGAGCCTGGATTTAAGTCAGCAATGAATAATAAAAGAAGTGAAAAGTGCCAAATTGCAAGACAGAGTTGTAGGTATCCGTGAGTGTGCCTGTGTGTGTGTGTGTGTGTGTGTGTGTGTGTGTGTGTGTGTGTCTGCTCTTAGTTTGGAAAGCAGGAAAACTAGCAGGTTGGATCATGCAGTCTGGTTCCTCATCGAGCATGCTGGCCAAGTAAATTTGTTTAATTAGTAAACCTGGCAAATTGCATTGGCTCCTAGAGTGCTGTGTGTGTGCGTATTTGTGTGGTAATGTATTTTTTAGCAAGTCCAAATCATCAGCAGGGTCCAAGACTATTTTGTACTCCTGCTCCCAAAAATAGTTTACAGCCAGCAATTCCAGGAGTGAAAATCTCCTCAGCAGTGATGAAACCATGTCATGGTTCCCTGATGATTTTCCAATCACTGTCATTCTGCCCAAACAATGCTGCAGCTGGAAGGAAGTCAAGCCACATTCAAGTTTAATAGTGATGAAATCTCCAGCAATCTCCAGAAAAAGAAACAGTCCAGCTATATTTCATTTGACCCCTTTTCTGTCTGGGTGAAAACATACAACCCCAATGTCAGTGCAATGCTGCAACTGTTGGTTCCTTTTGCCCTTAAGTGAGTCAAATGGTACAAATCTACTCAGAATACTGGACCTGTATACCTGTGTGTGAGTCATAGATGAATCAAACTGGAAACAAGGGAAAGCTCAACATGCATCCTTGACTCTAATGTTTTGCTGGATCAAATAGTGACTCATAAACCAACAGCAAATATGGGAGAACATGAAAACTGCTCACAGAAAGACTGTTGAATCTTAAGCACTGCACCACCTTGCTGGTCTCTCCAATGAGCTGAGAGGATGTGTCATCAGGTGGTTAGCACTTGCCATTTAGTATTTTCGAGGGACATCCTTTTCACACAAGTACTCATTTTATTCATTGTCAATATAAGAATAATGATCATTCCACCTTTAACCATTTCTACTGGATATGCAATTATGAATCATTGAATTCACGACAGATGGAAATTTGCCTTGTCAGCCATTGTTACCGAAACCTTGGCTGCTCATCAGCTAGTTTGAGACATCTTCAGGTATGTGATGCATAAACATGCTGGTGTCATAGGTATGGGATAATGGGGACGGGCTGTTCATAGATAAATCTTGGTAATGCTATTTGGCACCAAAGGAGCAGCAAAAATGATTTCCACCGAGACAATGACAGCAGACACTCATTTCGTTCCTCCTGCATTTGCTGATTTGTATTCACACAACGTATTGGCTGAGCTATCCAGGTGTCAAGAGCTGACATATTTCTTTTCCACAGCGTATTTTCTCCGATTTTTTCAAACACTTCCTTGGGCCCAAACAGTGAAATGGTGATTTGACAGCAGCAGGGTAGGAGGATAGCAGCAAGCATCCATTAGCGAGCGGAGGAGAGGTGTATTCACTGAGTTGCCATCATTACACCTGGCCCTCTCCCCAGCCCAGATGAGGCAGGCAGTTACAGATGTCTGCCTATTGGGTTTGGCAGCACAAATACAGACCATCCGCTGCCATTGTCTCTCTCTGCACCATCACGCAAACACAAACAGACACACACGGACCGTCTCTCTCTGCTTACTCTGTAACTCGTCCTTCCTCCTGCTCACTCTTTCCAAGTGAACACCCTGCCTCTGTGAGTGAGACTGACCACTGAGATGCTCTGTGTGGCAGAGAGCCTGCTACTGGTCTTCACTGTGCTCTCATTGTGCCAAAGCCATCCAAATGCCAGTGATGCCTTCAGGGCAAGCCCGCTGTGTGCGTATGCTTGTGTAGAGTGCGCTTACGTGGCTTTATGCCTCTGTATGTGTAAGTGTTTATGGTGGAGCGTTTCCCCTCTCGCCCACGGGTGACGGCGTGCTGTGATCCTGCCTCAGTTCCTCTACGGGATGCCTCTCGTTGTTGCTGCTGACAGAAAATATTGGCGTGTGTGCGCGTGTGTCTGCTTGCTTGTGTGATTTCTAGGCCAAAATTGGGAGTGGACTTCCTTGTTTGGTCTCAGTAGCCTCACACATCTCTAGGGTCTCAGCTGGAACAAATCTCCAAGTGTAGAGGCTGATTGCTGGAGCCTGTCAGCAGGATCCATCAGCCATCACTGTGTCTGCAACAGCAGACACACTGCAATGTGAGCTGACTGCAAAACATGGCAATACCTGGCACTTTGCATTTTTTTTTACAGCAATGAGAGTCGGAGTTGTGTGCACGGACGTCTTTGAGAATAAACAACATCCCGCTGCCCCCTTTTCTGGTAAGTGCTGTGACATCACTGCCATCACCATGGCAACAGCCCTCTCTCTTACTAGAACTCCTGCAGAGTGTGCGCATGTATGTGTGAGAGTGTGTTTAGACAGCTTGAGGACAATGACTTGGTCACAATGTGACAGGACTCTGTGCTCCTCTGAGTTCTGGACCTCTGGGACAGAGAGAGCGGTCCTGCTGTGGCCACATTTGTGAATCTGTGTGTTTGTTTGTGTGTGTGTGGGAGACGAGCATCCGCACAACAAGTCGCTGAAGTGTAATAAATGTCTACAGATGTGTTAAAATTGGCTCAGTGCAATGACAGACTGCAGCAGGAAACATTGCTGACCACACTGACATACTGCTGTGTGTGTGTGTGTTTGAGCTGTATGCTGCTCCCCTGAGATCTTATAAGTTGTCTTACGATCAATCACACGAACCATGAATCCATGTGAGTGAGACTGTGCAGTAGCAGGCTTTAAAAATCAACACTCTCATTGGCTATAATCTGATTTATGACCACACTGCTCCCTGTAACAATGCCAGTATTTTTTATTTTTTTACATTTACCCAACCATACAAAAATGGCCATTGCCCCAGTTTAGAAATGCACAAACACACAGCTCCAGTAGCACCACACTCTCCGCTGCTAAGCGGTGAGCAGGAGTCCAAAAGGACCAGAGTTTATGTATATCGCT